CGAAAATCACACGAGCCATGTCTATTTCGTGTTTTATAACATTGTCATTTAAAAGCAAAAATTTCACAGTTAAAGACAAATGCGACTTGGCACAAGGTAATTTTGCATTTATGGGAGCCAGCAAGTTACGAAATAAGCATGGCTATGTCAATTTCGTGTTTTATAAAATGCCCATTAATATTATATATTAGTATAAGACAAATGCAGCGCGGCCTGGTCAATTCCGCATCTATGGGTTTCAGTGAATGACGAACAAGACCATGTGAATTTCGAGTTTTATAACATAGCCATTTGGAGCTAAAAAATCCATAGTAAGAGACGAACGCGACATGGGTCGTGTCAATCCATCTATGGGGTTCAGTAAGTGGCGAAACAGACACAGCCCTGTCGTTTTCGAGGCCCATACAGTCACATAAACTATTTTGCGCAAATTATGACATTTGTCGATAATTGAATTTACGGTTCTGTATAAACTCATCATTCATGCACTTAGGCCTACAGCATTGTCATCTAGACTCTCGGCATTACATGTTTATCATCAATCATAATGTAAATATATTGGAGAAAGGTACCCTTTTGCCATCCTAAACGCGATATTCTTCATAAGTTGTCATATATATAATCAGCATATCATATCATATCATATCATCCCCACCTACATTGTTTTCAGCGATTGCCTTTGATTGTTAAAAAAACATTGACGCGTTCCTATACCACACTGGACATAGAAGTGTCACCCCTACTGAACCAATACTTTGGGGAGATAAATGACTGTGGAATGATATGCTCCTGGTATCATTTTATTAACATCAAATTTCACAAAACGACCAACAATACAATTCCATGGTACTCATAAGTCACATTATAAGTAGACCAGGCATTATAACTACTCAAGATCTACCTACTTTGATTACTCTGATTCAGGGGGTAACACTTCTATTGTCCATTGTGTGTACAAGAGACGGTAAACAGACACCAACATGATCGACTTAGATCAGCTCATGTATAAAAAGCAAGCCCTCAAATGTATTGTTTTCAATTAGGACAGAGGACATTTCCCTATTTATCGTCTCTTGGATACAAACTTTTTTAATGAGAAAAGGAAATCGCTGAAAAGGTGGGAATCAATATTAGACTTAGTGGCGTGTTATTTTTATCCCTGTCTTATTGTGGAGTAAAATGCAAAACCGACAAAATGTACCTGGATAACCCTAAGGTATACGCATAATTAGTAGGACAAGGTACCGGTGCACATTCGATGTTTACAGTGGTTTTATATCGATTATTGCGAAATGGGGACTCACATTTTACACATGAACTGATCTACGTCGATCATGTTGGTGTCATGAAAACATAATAGTATTGGAAGCACCCAAGAAGGACAAAAATATAAGCACCAAGTAAAATACAAACAACTAGTTATAATCCAGCTGGTCTGTTGTATTCAACGTCATTATGTTTAAAAAACGCCTTAAGTTTAATATTTCAGTGTAGATTGTCCTTGACTCACTGAGCCTTCACAAATGCTAATGAAATCCTTGGTAAAATTTCAGTTCAGGTTGGAAGGTGTTTGGTCTTTCCGCTTATTTTTCATTCTTCAATTTTATCGTATCAATGGATGTGGTTGTCAGATTGCGTATTCTCATAAAAGAATACAAGGCACTGCTCACCTCATGTTCGGCCTTTATTGTAATCTCACAGTGTGTTCTGTCTACTGTAACAAGCTTTTTGTCACTATTTGCTAGTCCATTGTAGTAACGCCTTTGAATCAACGAATTCCACATAAAATATAAACAAACTTAACATACAAAGCACAATGTTAAAAAAAGTCTGAAATGAAGACAATTATACGAGAAGCGGCGCTAGACAAATGAACCCTGCTGGTAAGTTATTTTTTTAGATGGAGTGTAGGTATCTCTCGAAGCAGAAGCATTTAACGTATGTAAATGCGTTAGAGGTGCGAATGTCCACATCAAAGCCTCTTCGTACCCTACACTCAACAGGTGCAATCTACTTCACTGTTAGAAATGCGTACACTTTCATTTGCATACATTGGTCGTTAAATAAAAACGAAATATGCTGTTACTTACAACGTATTTATTAACCTTTTTTGACATTAGATGATTTAATTAATCCCTTTGAAGACATTATGAACTGTTGAAGCAGCAGCTGGTTTAACATTCAAATTAAACGTCGAGCAATGGTTTCCAGAAGAGAGTGCATCAACGCGGTTGAACTCTCAAAACGTAAGTACGTTGAGTTAACTGATAACCCTGACATTTTGCCTTTCTCACACAGGGGCGGATTGAGGCCGTCTTCTGGGTCTTCCAAAAGACGGTCAGATTATCAAGTTAAAATTGACAGGTATCTAATTATCTTATTATTACTGTCGGAAGACGACCAAAAATAGAGGATGGATCCACAAGGATAGTTTGGAAGACTGTCAGAAAATACCTCTGGATCCGCCCATGTCACACGCACTGCATTTGAAATGTAAACTTGAAAATCTGACCGTCTTCCGGGAGACCCAGAAGATGGCCTCAATCCGCCCCTGTAGTTAACCTACACACCTTAACTTTCTTCGTCCCGAATGTGTCCATGAAATATATACACACTCAAATCATAAAAAAAACATAGAAAAACAGGTATATGTACGCCCAAGTAGTTATACTACGATGTCTGAGGTCCGAAAATAGGTTTAACTTACCCGTCTCAAAAATTCAATTTCCCAGTGTAATATCCTCAATTTAGTTGTCCCAAATCGGATGTCAAAATAATACCTTTTTACGTGCTATTGCAGTTATTTTGACAGAGCCAATTAACCTCAAATACCGCTTAAAGATAGGTCTTCTTTCCTGAGAGACCACAAACTGTGATAGCCGGAGTCTTTGGTAAATCTTCAGGAGACCTGGATCCTGGATTTCACTCACTTAGGTCAGGCAAAACTGATAACTTGGTTAGTGTATTAAATTTTAAAGCAGAAAAACAACAGCATTGAGATTTTCCTGGGGTCAATTGCAAGTTTTTCCGACTTACCAAAACAATACCCAAATTATCTTTTTTCATCTAACAAAATAGATGTGATGAAGAATCCGATTTTCTCAAAATAAGGATTTGTTGCCTACATTAACTAACTTATCAGATTTGTCTGGCCTTACTTTGAATTTGCCAAAAACGATTAACTGTAATTGCACTGGGGGTCTTTATTGCTTTTACCGGCTATGTATCATCCATTATTTTTATAGGGGGTGGATAATTTCAAGAGTAGGGCTAGAGAAGTGCTTGTAAGATTGGTACTGATGCGCTTATGCGTTTAAACATGCAGTCATTTGTAGACAGCGTCGTCGCGTGTTCTCATGCATCCCTAAGCCATTACTGTCCTTAGTTTTCAAAACAGTTGAGAAAAAGCAGAAACGAATACAAAATAAACATTCTAATACAAAACTCTGTGTTCAGAAATCTTCAGGGCCGCCTGTCCATGACCTTCGACACGCGATGCTTTGAGTGCAAAAGTTAAAAGCATATAGGTATCAGCATTCTGGAGAGAGACAGCCCATTCTGGGAGTTAAACAAAGATTTTAATGAATGGGTAAGGCCGCGTTGCACGCACATCATAATCTCATTTACTTAATTTACGGTAGCGGTAAGGGAAAGCTGGCGTCCGATAAATAGTGTTTCTAATAATCGAATTAAATGTTTACATGCATGGCAAGTGTCTCTGCGTCTGTATTCTCTTGGTCTGACTGAAGCGGTCCTTTTTATCGCTACCGTGCGTTCGGCACCGTACGAACTTTAACTGAAAATAAAATAAAATGACGGCACTGGAAGACCAGGTTCTTTGATTTTGGATTTAATTTCCATGGTGCGAATAGGGTCTCCGAGGGGTTCTTATGTGTAATCTGCTCATCTGGACGAAAGCTAGACTATTGACAATTCAACTAGCACGGTTTTGAACGCGTTTTTATTCGACATATACACAACTAGGGAATGTATAAATTTATGCATCTGTATATCTGCAAGGGGCAGTCAATAACCGATGTTGACAGGAACCGGTTGATTCAGTAACTCTTCAAGTAATGTACGTGTATCTGTAATAACTGACTTATGTTTATCTCCTTATTAAACAAATTACTCTAAATGCAGTGATTCTGTGTTATCTGTGGCAAGCCCGTGTGTATTCAACTCACATCGTATAAAATAACTTCAAGCTCATTCTACACCACTTTTAATTACTGTTAATATATTTCTACATTGGAAGGGGGGTTGAGGGAAATTATAATTGTGGAAATATTATACGCAATGTGAGCGTCATTGGCGTTAACTAAGAAAGTCAATTGTTTGTGGAATGACCGTCATCACTAAGTAGTGGGAGGGAAGAGGCACAATCGACGCAAAATATTCCGGTAGTGCAGTATGATTGTATGAGTTTAACCATTCATCTGGTAAAACTGCTACAGTGTAGTTTTAAGTTGGGGAATTTACTCTTGTTGGAATAACACCGATCAACTTAACTTACTTATTTGGAACGCACACCACACACCTACCGGTGTAAGGACGCATAGTAGACATCAGGGGCGTAGGATGGGCGAAAATGATCCGCGGCAGCGGTTAAAGGTATATACAGCACATACAGGTTGGTTATTTATACTGCCTGTGGTACTCATCTATACGCTGACTGAAAGAAAAGAAAGAGACTTCTAATGAACTGGGATAACGGAAGGATCCCATATCTTTTTTTTTTCACTCCCCAAACCAACGACCTGAAAGCCTGAGAACGAAAACTACGAACTGATATGTCTTAAAAGCTCTTTGAATCTCGTTTAAAATAATGCCTTTATTGTACCAAAGGAACATATACCTTCAACATTTGTATTTCCAGTGTTAAACACAATTTACAAATGATAATGATAATACATGTATAACGAAATAATAATAAATAAAATAACAGATAAATGAAAGTGAATAAAATTATTTTCAAATTTTAAAAAATTTCTTCGATTTTTAATCGTGATCAGTTACTAAGTATCCCCATTTGAAGCACTAGGAACTTTATTTTAAAAAACAATACCTAACTGCAAGACGTCTATTACACAATTAAAACCAAAAGTTAATTTATAGAAAGGTCGATGTTTCCGATTGACCAGAGACAGGAATCGTTGAACCCAACTTCCCCAAGAAAAGAAACCTCTCTTGATTCTATAAAACCGTTAGACGATAGGCAGCTTCCCTGTCAATTGAAAAAAATTAAATGTCCCTCATCTATAATACTGCTGATATCGACAAGATCCGATGACATTTGAAGAGATATGCGCAGCCATCCACATCCGCCCTCCAGCGAAATCTTGAAAAATGATAGTTTCTTTTAAATGTTATTAAACCCTTCTATTGGATCCTTCTGCTTTGAGGTATTTATTTCTCAAAATCTATGTCACATAGAAGAGGTGGACCCAAGAAATAAAATAGGTTATTTTTATTAGATATATGAAAAAAATTAAACTCTCCTTGTCTATGCAGGTAATATCTTTAAATTATTGGAAGCATGCGACGTTTCTCCCGTGACGGTACATGTAACTAGGGTATACCGCTGTCTTTTTGGTGGTCATAACCACGGTAACGAGACTATTCTTTGCTACAAGAGCAAATCAGATGCTACATTTCATTGAAAATTACCCCTCCCAGACCGTAAACGACATTGACAAAAGTGGACGTTTTGTACTCAGACGTGACGGGCGTGTAAAAAAATACGTTTGACACTCGGATAAAAAATCCACTATTAGATCTAAAGAAAAAAGCATCTATCTTGCCAAAGTAAACGTGCACTGTGCATCTTCAAAGTAACAACATGCATGGGGCAAAACAAGCTTTTGCGTTCGTCTAGTACAGGAAACCAAAGACACCCTCAAAGATACTGCAGACAAAAAAAAATTAAAATTAAACACTTGGCCGTGTCTGACCAATCAACTGTAAAGAAACCATAATAAATTACATCGACCGGTGCTGTTTTTAAACACGTTAGTAATTTGTTTGGATCAGTTGAACAGCCTCAGTCTAGCGGTATTGCCTGAATGTTTGCGACAGTCGAACTAGTCTCGTCTGATGGTGGCCGGTCGCCAGCGTGCAAATTAAAAGTAGACATACTAAACGTCTTGTTCGGTATTTTATACTGATGTTTTGGACAGCACACACATAAAATCCGTGAAAACGCCCGACGGAAGTCTTTCAAAGATAGAGCGTAAATGATGGGATTCATTCCCGAATTGATATATCCCAGCCACGTGAAAACGGGGAATATGATATCTGGGTGAAGCACACAAGTTCCACATATGCCATATAACAGGTTGGCCGCGAAGAACGGCAACCAACATATGATAAAAACCCCTATGACTATTCCTAGGGTCTTCGCCGCCTTTCGTTCTCTGGCAACTTTACTGAGTTTTGTTTTAATGACAAATTGTTTCAGTCTTTTCCGTATGAATTTTGCAGGACTGTGTATGTCTGAAACCGGTGCGTTGTCGTCTTCATTTTCGTTCTGATTTTCAATAAACGCAGAATTCACACTAGCCGTATCATCTTCGATACTCAAGTTGTTATTTGTGGTATTTCTTTTATTACTTTGATTGTGGCACCCGTTCCTTAGGTAGCGAGGTTTGATAGGTGAAAAATCGTTTGTCTCCGCTATGGCAGGTGTGTAAATTGATAAATTTTTCCTAACATTCATCATAAGTAAACTAGTGGCCCCTGGCCTAGCACCTCCCCGGTGTATCCGCAGCGTTAATTTCTGTCCATTTATTCCACTTACTACAGACTTGGACCCGTGTCTTAGACTCCTCAGTTGCTCTGCTGCAGCTCTGTATATTTTCCAGTAAACGTATAACATTATAACAAGAGGAGTGTAAAAAGATATGGCTGAGCTTATCAAGAGGTAAGCGGTATCCTCTGTGAAAAGACAGACCGTGTCTGGTAGTACTGGATCCACCGCTCGCCACCACATTATGGCGGGGAATGATATAGAGCCAGAACATATCCAAACTAATGCAATAAGAATGCACACTCTTCGCGACGACATCCGGTGTGGATATTTTATAGGATCCGTTATGGCCCAGTATCTATCCATGGATATCACGCATAAATTAAGTATGGACGCAGTGCTTCCAAGAACGTCAAAGGAATGCCAAAGATCGCACCACAGTTTTCCATAGACCCACCGACCTGAACGTATCTCCAGCGCAATGCTGAAAGGCATTACTATACTGCCCACGACAAGATCGGCGACAGCCAAGGACACCAAGAAGTAATTTGTATTGGCCCGTAGATATCTTTCCTTCACTATCGCAGTAATTACAAGTAAATTTCCAACCACTGTTAAAAGCGCAAAAAATGCCAGTACAAATCCTAGTGCTGGGTGTTTATGGTGGTAGGCCGCGTGCTCAAAAGCCGTCTCTTCTTCACCGTGGTAAAGATCACTAGGCGTAGTTCCTGGCAACGACGAATTTCTAACGTAGGTATCGTTTTTGATATTACCAGTATAATAGAATATCGTTGAATTTAATGATGAAACCCCCATGACATCAATGATATATTGTTTGACTGACGTCGTTAGTTGTTTCTTATTATTAAGAAAAGTTGTTAACTCGACTTGTAGCGACTTTGTAGGCCTACAGGCACACTCACCCTTTACACACTGAGCCGATGATTTCAGATCGAGAAAAGATGCCCTAGTATTTTGAGAGACATATCCGGCAAGTTGCTTTGCTATTAAAGGAGTAATGCCGATGGTCATGTGTTCCAAAAAATAGTTCATAACTGAAGTTTTGATAAACAGTCTTCATACCAAATGATGGAAAGGCCAAGTGTGATATATATATTTTTTTTGCTTTCGCCTTTATCAGGTAATGGAGCCCATTTGTGTGGTCTTATAATAGCATCCCAGAACGATGACTCTTGAAATTTCAAATCAGCAAAAACTGAAAACGACCATCTTGGGAATTGAAATCTGAAAAATAGAAAATGTAAATTGTTAACACGTGAAGGACAGTTGGTGTTACATTTGGTTGAGTGTGCTGTATCTTTTTATTCATACACAACATTTAGATGAGACCAAAAGTGTAATATTTTTAGTATCATCCGACTATCTAGTTAACCGCTTTCACTTCAATCGGTTTGAGGATTATTATTCATTTTAAAGATTTCGAAGATACATGTAGGAGGAAAGGCGCCATGCATGGCCAGGAGCAAGACACCTCACACAGAGTTGGTAGGAAAAAAAACAGTGCCAGACTGCGGTTCGCTTCTTTACAGGGCTTCACTTACAAATAACAAGTCATCCTATTTACCAAGTTCTTTTCCATTGAGAGAGCTTTAAAAAAGAAAGTATAAGTGGGGATCTCAGTTTCTTCCCAGCACGTTAGTACGCTCTTTATCTCCTTTCAATCCAGGGGAATTGCCAGCTGTTTAGGATGAAGGAAGAACCGCACCAATTACTGAGCCAAACCACAGACACGCCACATGCATTATATACTAAGTTTTCCAAATGCGCTGCTGGAAATCATTCCAACATTTGTTTACAAAATTTTACCGAACAATTATGATGCCCTATGGTATGAATAGCTGTCATTTCAGTCCGGCCTGTGGAGAACAGCCAATCTACATGATTCTCGACCTTTTCAACTTGACTTCATACACCTGTGAGTGTTCTATCAAAAGAACAACTTTCTGATCTAAATTAAGGGACATGCATCGAATTAGAGTATTATAAAAAAAACCCTGTAAAACACTCTGTATCCCTAGTTCAGATAAATAAAGGCTTCGAAGTTTTACGAGCTCTGAACATCTCTGTATTACTACATGTATATCTGAAAGAATAACTAAAACGAATTTGCTAAAGCACAGCGTAAAAGCAACACACATAAGCATGTCAAACACCACCTTTTGACCTAAGATACTCCACTGCAATTGCGCTCTTGCACTGGGTAGCATTTGAAATGGACATTAGATAAACCAGGTTCTTCTTAAGGCAGGACGAAATACAAACTGGCCGGTGAACGCACACTCTCGCCACACACTGGCAATAAAAAAAGCAATATATCAGCCGTGTAGGCTTCCATCTTTACCTGCTTATTGCATTTTCAACAATACTCAAAGCTGCAATCATGACATTGCCTTTTTCTGTGTAGACTTTCTACCGATATCCGGTTATTAGGTTTCGAACATTGGGCTCATTTCATAAACATTTTCATTGAACTGTGGAATGCATTAAGTTACACGTTTTATCGGTAAGAGCTATTTACTGATAATATGTTAACACACGACCCTTGAAATATCAGAATCGTTTCTATCCAAGCGGTAGTGTATTTGGTTACAAGAACTATTATGCAATGCTGTCTTGTAAATTTGATTTTTTTATTCTGCTACACCCAATATCACAAATGCCTAAATGCATTATTGATAAATACGAACGACATTAGAACTGTTACAAAGATAGCTGATAAATATAGTGTTGGGCATATTAATATAGTTACAGCTGAATAAATGCGCCTATAATGTGGCTGTTTCCGACTTATCGAGAGCTATGTACACTACCTTATTTCAAATTGCTGGGTAACAGCTACAAAGGAGAGAACTATGCTTCTCTTCATAACTCATAAAATTGTGTTATCTTCATCTCCATGTTACTCGTATCTACCAGTCGCTGCGACAAGCTTTGCTGGAAATCACATTTTTCTTGAGTTGAATTCCACAATCAGATCAATCAAAGGCACGCCACCTACGCTTTCTTTTTTTTCTGCGAATAAAAACGTGTCTGTCTGTTTGTTTGATGGCTCTTGTATGACTCAAAGCCCAACAATTATCTCACACGTAAAATAAATAAATAAATAAATAAATAAATAAAAAACATCAATCGCTGAGCACATTCATTCAGGCAGTCTAAGACTGCATTCCCGTAGATTTAGATCGATCCATCTAGATCGACCTAACTCCTTGGGGGTTCACGCTAAATTGATGTCAGCTGAGCGCGCACGGTAGGTCTTAGACGCCCGTTCATCTGCTCGCTTCTCCTCCCACCTCTTTACCAAAATGTCATCAATAAAATCGTGATACTTCTTACCAAGGCTGAACGTTTGTGTGGATGGACGCCAGATAAACTTAGACTCATTTCATGTGCAGGTTTATTGCACACGATTTATTTAACCCCGATAACCAACATATATATAACCTGACATATACGTATGTGCACCAGCGTAATACGTTTTATTCTTTAGAGTGACACGAAGGATTTTCTGCGAATGAACATTTCTATTCGTCATGAAGATTTTTCATCGTCAGTTTTCTGTGCCCTAGGGCGACATAATAATAATAATTAAGATTCATAGACCTATCAACACATTGATTTCACAATCACTCATTTGCATCAGTCATCTTATAATTTCAACTGGAATTAATCGGTGATCACTGATAAACGATCCCATAAGCGGCGAATGGCTACTTAATTGAGAAACTCAAAGGTGATTTCATGTCCCACGCAAGTTATGAAAATACCCTGCGGTCGTGACCTTACTTGAGTACACCGAACTTTAGCCGTAAGAATGGTTCACGCTATGGGCTGATCATTCAACTACACTTACCGGTCTCAACCGGCCCGATTGTGCTTAATTAATACACAGCTACTGAGTTGGCTAGGCTGGTAACCCATCTTTTAACTCCATTTTTTCACTTCAGAAGACGTTAGGCTCGGTAGGCCGGTAACTAGTAACTGTAAGAGTGAGATTGTGAAGACACCGAGTCAAAATGTACAAAAAAGCAGGTGCTTTTCACACAACAGTATTGTTCTCGAGCTGCTAAATGTTCATCGTCCATACAGACTCACAGTTACATGCATGTGTTACTGCAATACGCAGAATATTCATATCACGACAACAATCGTGTACGTACAATGTAACTAAATATCCTGTCCTTATCACGGTCTATACTATGCTTCATACGTGTTACCACCAAAACTGAATTTCAAAAAATGTCGTACCCGGTACGCTTCAATACTAAGCAAAGACAAATGAGAAACTGCTACCTAATGCTGGATCAAGCAGGCCATAGTTCTCAACCTAAAACAATAATGTGATAAAATAGAATTACGCGAAATCAAAGTTCGATGGCCACACCATTTGTTGTGTAAATAAGATAAATGATTTGCGTCGCCGATTTCATCTGAATATCACACATTTCCCGCGGCGTTTATTAATTCCTTAGCTCATGGGCCAGAATTTAAACCACAGTGGTGGACTCGATAATTGAATCTCTGCAAATTGAATGCCATGTGATTTCTTTCTCTCTCTTACTGTGGTAATATCATATACACGTAGTTCTTTTTTCTAAAAGCTGAAGAGAAAACGAAAATTTCTTCTCGCCCTAACAATAGAAAACTAAAACCATACTACAACAAATGTCAGAACTAACAATACTGAACATGTTTCTGGAGTCACGCTCTTCTTCCAAAGTACATGGAGAAAATGGTTCAACCCAATAAGTTTCTTTTAAAGATATACATGTATTTGAATCAAGCATAGGATTCCCGGAAACGCCTATAAACCACCTTTACTAGTTTCTCATACGACCCAAAAATGTAGTAAAACACATACGCTGATTTTTTTTACATAAATTGCAATTGACTCATATTAGTGCCAGGGTACGGCTCATAATTTCTAGTATTGAGTAGTGCAAGACTTTTATTCTAGGGTTAGCACTGATGAGATTATCTTAAAATTTGGAACATCAAGGGTGTTAAGAGAACTAAAGTAAAAGTGTATCAACTTACCCCACAAAAAGTCACTCTAGAATCGCAATATCCACCAAATCTCGTTAACACCATGTTCTTTTTGGACGCTATAAGATAACGCAGTGAGGTGCACTGGTTTACCGAACGTGGCTGACATTTTATTTCCGGCAACTTCTTTGTAAGCTAAAGTACTGTTAGTAAGCGAATCCCTTGTGATGCACTAATTCTACCATATTCCAGACCTGCCAATCTGTGAATGCTTTTCGACAGGACAGGAATTATCCAGGGATGAATTTGGCATTAATGGACGGAAGGTATAAAATGAAACAATTTTCTAAAGTGATCCTTTTTCCTAGTCCGTGTCATAAAATCTTTTTCCACAGTTAGTACTTGACCAATTCTCTTCTGAAGACAAGGTTTTGTCAGGAGCAATATTTGCAAATGTTTACATTTGATATAAAATAAGACCCTAAAGGAATGTAGAAAGCATCCCAAAATGCTAATTAGCATATCTACTGCACATATCGGTGTGTGCTTTTATATGGTGTCAAAAGGGGGGGGGGGAGCGTAAATGAATGAAACTAAAAAAAGCACCCAAGGAGCGCAAACTCCTGCCAAGGCAGATCAATCCCCAAATTTATTGATAATCTATTGATTAAAATAAGTAATTAATTTACTCAATTTTCATTATTAATTAATTACGTCTCATTATTAATTGATTAATCACCTCTAAAATCTACCCCCTTTCTGGCCTATCCCAAAATTAAATTAAATTTTCTTCGTAGCTTTTAACATGTTGCTCACAGACAAAAATACTTTATTAATCAACTTATCAAAAAAAAAAAAAAGAATGGATCACCATCAAAATTTAATTGTTTGTTACTTGGTCTCCCCAAAATTTTATCAAAATCCTTCCACAACCTTTCCAAACGTAACCAAAAACATGATCTCCAAGAGGTCAATATTTCAAGTTGGTTTTACAAAAATGTCAGTAAACTAACTATATATAAACGTTCTGCTTTCACTCAAACAATTGAGTATTAGAATGCAAATAAAGATAAAACACAGAATGACTGTTTATGGATTATTTGCATAATGTTTGCACAATACGAAAGATCACAAAGGCTGCACGGTTAAACATTCCAGCGAACGCAGCAAAATGTAGTAAGAAATCTGTACAATTTGCCTTCACCCCTTAACACTGCGTATATGTATGTGAATATTTT